AGACTTGGAGATTTATGAGAAGCAAGCTTCGATAAACGACGAATTTCCTCCAGAAAAATGGACTCCGAAACACACCCACTGAAAATATGGCGCCATCTATATTCATCTATTATTTTACTTTTTTTTGTGAGAGGTGGCTTTATTTTATTATGTATGCCGGTGTTAGTACAGTTCATCTGCTTTATTATGTTTGTATCTAATATAAACTTTTGCACCTTCAATGTTTGTCATTTTTGCATGTTTTTGTGGAACGTAGCATCCTTGTATTTTTTTCCCTCAACCCTTGTAGTGACTTAGTGAGTGTTGACAGCATCAATAAATAAATAAAATAAATAATTGGCAAGCTTCGTCGTTATGGCCACCCGCAGGACTCGCGGGGAAGTGGATCCGAGTAGGCGGCAGCCAACACATGCAGCATTTCTTTCTCTGCCGTGACATGATCGGCAAGATTAGTCACCAGTATGCAACGTGCAGACTATGTTGTGCTGAGAGTGATAGATAAGCTGCGTAGCTGATCTGCCCTCCCCCCAACTCCCTCTCCCCGAGTGCAGTTATGTGTCCCATAACCGGCGCTTCAGAAGCATCGATTGCCGCTCAGTTTCGCAAAAACGACTGCCCCTGTTACCTTGTCAACGTCCATCGCCGGTTCCGCGCTAATTTTAGAACGGCGGGGCCTTGGTGAAAACACTCGGTGAAGGCCGAAGCAAGCTCTCCCCTATACGCGCGCTTGCGCACATGCAAATAGTCTGACACTTTACCCAAGGGAATTAGGAAGCGAGTACATTGAAGCTCCTGCGCGTTTCAGTGGGCTCTTGAAAACGGTGGTTTTTAGCAGCCAATTCAAAAACAAAATTTGGGACGTGTAACCGAGGAACAAATAAGTGGCTGTTACGCATCTTCTACGATGTCTGTACGAGAGAGAGAGAGTAAAATGAGGGAAAGGCAGAGAGGTTGACCAGAAAATGGAGCATCCGGTTTGCTACCCTGCACTAGGGGAAGGGAAAATAGGGAAGAAAGATGGGAAAGAAGGCGAAGAGGGAAATAGACGCGCGCAAGAAAGACGGGGGGGGGCTGGTGTGCTATAGTCTATACAATATTCCACTGCCACGCAAAAAGTTCAGTAAGGCCTTCAGTGATTTTCATGTCTATACGACCTCCAAGTGTTGTCAACAGGAAATTCGCGCTATAACACTGGTTAAAACTATGCAATATTTTGCTTTATTAGGGTAACAGTACGCGTATGCATCTTTTGAACTTTTAATGGCTAGTCCTCAGGGCAAGCGTATGCAGCTTTGTTTCTTTATTTATTGATTTGATTTATAAGAAATTCAAGGAAGGCTCCGTCTACTTTTTAGCCCTTGAGTGAATATTGAACACAATATGAAAGAAGGACAAACAACAGCAGTGCCTGAAAAGTATGACATGCAAGAACACACACACACACACACAGACACACACACACAAACGCGCGCGCGCGCATATCAAACAGCACTATCACAATGTATAAGAAAAAATGTTCCTAATTTACATTCTTAAGTTCGTGACGCCAATAGCGCCAAGATTTCAAGCCCCATGCCATGATTAATTTAGCAATAAAAGGTACCTGTAGTGCGGTCCTCTGGATTTATTTTGGCCACGCGGCTCCTCAACGCGCACCCTAAATCCAAGCATAGACATGGGCGTTTTCGGATTTCACATTGTTGTGTCCCAAGCGCACCTCTGTTCCCGATCGAGCCCTCGAACGTCGCGAGTGGTTTCCCGTACCTGCTGACGTCCGGTTGTCGACTGCTCCCCTCCCTTTAGCTCACCTATAATTTCCCCCGGCAGCGCAGTTGCCACCTCCAAGTTGAAACAAACACGTTTGTAACCGTTCCAGACTGTCTATGCGTATTAGATTACCGCGCCCCATGCGTACACATATCGGCCAACCTCAACACCGGACCAAACAGACATCCACCAAATTACAGCCATTGTTATTGAGAGTCGCAGCATGGTAACCAACGCCATGGATACCACTATAGGTCACCCTGTCTTTCGCTCACTATGCATTTTTTTTGAAGGAACGCACCGTTAGTGCCAGTCTGCATTTTTTTTTATATGCGATGCGTCTTAAGGTCGACTTCAATCCAGTGTGCGGCGGGACCACCGTTACTGCGCATTCGAGCACCCTTTCCCTCTCCTTTCCTACGCTACCACCCTATCTCACATCGCAACCCCGACGTTCACTCCCCTCTTTCTCTCCTCTAGGCACTCTCCTAGCGGCGTTTACACCTCCAATGTGCATGCGTGTCCCCTACCCCTCTCTCTTCTCTCCTACGCTCCCCCTTTCTCGCCTCGAAACGTAGACGCAGGCAGCGTGTGCAAGCGACTTTCTTGATTGAAAAAAAATTGGCAGCATATACACGGAGTTAATGATGGAGAGTGGGGCGAAGCATTCGTCCGTCCATTCGTTCTTGCTTCCGTCCGTCCATGCGTCTGTCTGTGTGACCATCCATGCGTCCATCCGCCCGTCCGTGCGTGCGTCTGTTCGTGCGTCCGTTCCTGCGTTCGTCCATGCATCTGCCCCTGCGTCCGTTCATGCGTCCATCCATGCATCTGTTTGTGTGTCCGTTCGTCCATCTATTCAACACTCCAAGTACCACCATCTCGCATCTTTTCATCACATATTCCCCATATAAAAGCACCGCCATCCAGTGGACATTCCAAGGACTAAACGAGAAGTGGCACACGCACACTTTCTTACGGCTTGCGCTTCGGGTCTACTTCCCACCTTTAACCACGTCGAATTCATGGTATATACTAGTTCATTGTATTCATGGCACTGTGGCTCAACGCTCGCGAAACCTATCTGAAACTAAGGAGGTTACACCCAGCGAGTATAACGTAGCAACCCTTTCTTGTCAGATAGTGGTCAATGTACGTGCCAATGGCTGCTAATGGGGTTCGTAACGTGCGCGTTAATTAAAAGCCGAATGACCCTGTCTCTCATTCCCCATTAGCAGCCATTGGCATGTACATTGAGCACCATTTTTTATTGTACAACAACGCACAGAAGAAATCTCTCACCGGCACCACCTTGGAGGTCAAAATGTTGTACTGGTTACACACTACAATGGCTACGACGGACGAACGGGCGCAGCTATAAAGAGCTTCGCCCCTAAAAACCAACTACTCGCGCCACGCTGCACAACTGTTCTCTGGCCACCCCGCATATATAGGCACCAGATCTTGATCTCCAAGGTAGTGTCGGTGGGAATTGATTTCTGTGCGTTGTTGAGCAATAAGTATTTGCAGTGTTAAACGAAAGCGGACTTCGGGTTTCTGTGCCCAATCAGGGTCATTTATCTCTCATTGCCCATTAGCAGAGATTCACATGTTCCAGTAGGAAACACCTGTTCCTCACTGCGCGCTTTGCGCCTCCCCAGGTTTCTCTCCAGCGCAACGCTGCGATTAGTGCCAGGGTGAACGCCGCCGCCAGGGTAAGCGATAGCACCCGCTGCTCTGCATCTACACACGCTTCCCTTCAGCGGAAGGTGGTTCTATTATGTTTCTACGTACATTATTACGTCATACACACGTGCAATGTGATATGTCCTATTGCGCCGATATCTTCCATTTAATGCAGCTGAAATTGAGTGGCGAGATCCAGCCCTGTCACGGACTAATCTCTCTGGCTACCAGAGAACCTAAGGGCTTCCGTCAGCCGGACTTTGGGTGCGCTATCCTATAGCGGACGTGACGTACACAACACGCCGCAAATTCAGATTCAAATTCCGACGCCTTGCAGTTCCTCAGGACCTGAATAAAGTTCTTTGTCTGTCTGTCTGATGCTTTTCTGTATTACAGCACGAAATGGCAGTCAAGGAGTCGGACTCGCGTCGATTCGTGTCGATGCAACCGCAAGCTAACCGTGCAGCATGACAATATTCACAGCCTCTACTGGGGCGTTAGCACCCAGGAGCCTGATAGGGTTGAAGATTGGCAGAGAAACATTATCCGAAGGAATTCAGCGGCAGGCTGTCAGGATCTGGATGCGCCTCATGCGGTACATCACGGCGCCGACTATTTTCTCCCCCGAGTGCACTAGTGGTATATTGTAACAAACAAACAGACAGACCCATGCCCCTTACACTTTGGTTGCCGGCTGTATTCGTATTCAGTCCTCCGCGCTGGAGCAGAAGTTATGGTGCTAGGCAGCTTACCAGAAGGTCGCGGGTTCAATACCGGCCATGACAGTCGCATTCCGACTGAAGGGGAAATGCTTGAGGCCTGTGTACTGTGCGATGTCAATGCTCCTTAAAAGATACTAGATGGTAGAAATTTCCGACTCCTCCCCTACGGCGTGCCGTATATTGATATATAGATATCATTGTTTTGGGGCATAAAACCCAGATTGTTATTACTATTATCATTAGTAGTAGTAGTTGTAGTAGTAGTAGTAGTAGCAGTAGTAGTAGTAGCAGTAGTAGTAGTATTGTTGTTGTACCGAGGCACATGTCATACTGAGGGAGGGCGGATGGGGAGCGCAAGAGGCTTCCTAGAGATCGAAGTGCTCTGTCATTATGAACTGGGATGGCAGCGTACCGGATGGGGAGCTCCAGGACGCGAAAGGGTTTTTCCCAGCGACTCCACCCAATGCAGCAAGCGTGTTCTCCTACGAACACTTGTCGCTACGCTTGAGAAAGCGTGAGTCGATTCTGGCAGAAACTCGGCAAGCATGGACCACGCGAACGTCAACGTCTGTCACGCTGGCCACCGATGTGCTCCGGTAGATATGTACTATTATTATTATTATTATTATTATTATTAGTAGTAGTAGTAGTAGTAGTAGTAGTACTGTTGCTAATATACTACATCTACTATTGCTAATACAAGTACTACTACTGCTAGTACAGCAACTACTACCACTAATACTACTACTAGGGCTAGTACAACTACTACTACCACTTTTAATTAGAAAATCAGCGGCTTAGTAATTGAGACAATGAGATGGCATATACCTGTCTGGCTGGCACCATTGTAGTCTCCAAGAGGGTAGCCTAGTTCTTCGCCAGCCTCCAGGAACACCTCGCTCACAGGTGATTTTGTTTCGGGATAGGCACACGGCAGCTCACCACTTGTACTGTGATAGCCTGCGCAAAAAATAAGGAAAATAATCAAGATTATATATATATATATATATATATATATATATATATATATATATATATATATATATATATATGCTCTAACTTATTGCAGCCATTGAGGAGTCTGTTTCGTCGACCCAAGATCCGCAACTAGATTAAAGTGCGGAACCAAATTTTGTAATACGCACAGGCGTAATTCGAGGCCCGAACATTTTCTTTGCAGTGTCTTAAAAGAGCTTCACACAATGGTTCGTGGCATCTGAAAAACTGTGAACTTAAATCGACAGTCACACTAATTCGTTTTCGTTTTCATCTCAAGCATGCATCTGCCTTTCCTGGATCACTCACTTGAAGAAAACGAAAGACTGATAGTGCCGGCAATTTTACGTGTTGATTTGAGGGATATGTGGGGTTTAACGTGATTTTCGCCTCGATCGAAAATGTAGCCGCCGAAGCCTGGATTCGATCCCGCGGCCCACGAATCAACAGCCGTGTAACTTAGCCACTAGACCACCGCGGCGGGGAAATTTTGCGTGTGATACACTGTAATGAGTGCTTAGTTGCTGGTACTAATTTTTAAGACTTTCTATCAGTGAAGATTCTAGGTGATCGTCCAGGCTTTGTGGAGGCAAGGTTTTTTTTTTTTGCTGGAAGTCTGTCACACCATCCGGGACGATTTCATAGATCAGTGGCCCTACGTGACGAACAATTTTGTAGGGGCCAAAATAACGCCGCAGAAGCTTTTCGCTGAGGCCTCGTCGGCGAACTGGTGCCCATAGCCAAACTTGTTCGCCGGGTGTGTATTCCTGATGGCAGTGTCGCAGGTTGTAGTGTCGGGCATCCGTCGCTTGCATGGTTGCCGTTCGCAGTCGAGCCAGCTGCCTGGCCTCTTCAGCGCGTTGTTGAAATATCGCTACGTCCGGGTTCGGGTCGCCTTCGTTTACATGCGGCAACATTGCGTCCAGAGTCGTTGTCGCTTCCCGTCCGTAAACAAGAGCGAATGGTGTCAGCCCGGTTGTCTCCTGGGTGGCCGTATTATATGCGAAGGTGACATATGGGAGCGCTTCATCCCATGTTTTATGTTCAACATCGACGTACATCGACATCATGTCCGCCAGGGTCTTCTTGAGCCGTTCTGTGAGACCGTTAGTTTGCGGATGGTATGCGGTAGTTCAGCGATGGGTGGTGTGGCTGTACCGCAAAATGGCTTGCATCAGTTCGCAACAGAAGGCTGTTCCTCTGTCAGTGATAACGACCTGAGGTGCACCATGGCACAGGACAATTTGGTGAACGAAGAATCTCGCGGCTTCCTCAGCAGTGACTCGAGCAAGGGCGCGGGTTTCTGCGTAGCGAGTCAGGTAATCTGTCGCAATAATGATCCACTTATTTCCTGTGGTAGACGTCGGAAAGGGTCCCAGAAAGTCCATTCCGATTTGTTCTAAGGGCCTTGTTGAGGGTTGAAGTGGCTGGAGTAGTCCAGCGGGTTTCGTTGGCGGTCTCTTTCTGCGTTGACAATCTCGGCACGTCCGTACGTAATGCTTGAAGTCCTCTAGAATGCGCGGCCAGTAGTAACGCTCACGGATCCGCGAAAGCGTTCGTGTACACCCAAGATACCCGGAGGTTGGTTCGTCATGTGACGCCTGCAAGATTTCCTGACACAATGACGGCGACACGACGAGAAGGTAGGTGCTCTTCCTAGGGTCGAAGTTCTTTTTCACAAGGACACCGTCTTTTAAGCAGAATGAGTGAAGAGCACACCTGAAAGTTTTGGGTATCTCCGTACGTTTTCCTTCAAGATGTTCAATGAGACAGTTCAGTTCAGGGTCGGCCCGTTGTTGGGCGGCTAAGTCGGAAGCGGTGATCATGCCCAGAAAACTGGCGTCGTCGTCTGCACACGGTGGTGGTTGCTCAACCAGGGCTCGAGACAGACAATCTGCGTCGGAATGCTTTCTTCCAGTCTTGTGCACTACCGATATGTCGAACTCCTGGAGCCGCAAGCTCCACCTTGCGAGACGTCCGGATGGATCCTTTAGGATCGCAAGCCAGCATAAAGCATGGTGGTCGGTAATGACGGTAAAAGGCCTGCCGTACAAATATGGGCGGAATTTGGAAGTTGTCTACACAATTGCCAAGCATTCCTTTTCGGTCGTGGAATAATTGTACTCTGCCTTAGATAAAGATCGACTGGCGTAGGCGATGACGTGTTCTCGTCCGTCCCGCCTTTCAACAAGAACGGCACCGAGGCCGACACTGCTGGCGTCGGTGTGGATTTCTATTGCCGCGTTCTCGTCGAAGTGGGCCAAAATAGGGGGCGCTTGAAGACGTCTTTTGAGCTCCCGAAACGCGTCTTCTTGGGGTGCTTCCCACACAAACGAGCTGTCTTCTTTCGTTAGACGTGTCAGGGGCTCGTAGACCTGCGAGAAGTCCTTGACAAAGCGCCTATAGTACGTGCAAAGTCCGAGGAAGCTTCGGAGGCTCTTCTTTTCGCGGGGCTGCGGGAAGTCTCGAACTGCAGCTGTCTTCTCTGGGTCTGGTAGAACGCGGGCAGAACTGACGACGTGACCAAGGAACTTCAGCTGCTCGTAGGTAAAACGGCATTTTTCGGGCTTTAACGTAAGTCCTGAAGCCTTAAGTGCATCAAGTACCACTTTTAACCTGCTGATGTGTTCCTCGAAAGATGGAGCGAAGACTATGACGTCGTCCAAATACACCAAACAAGTTTGCCATTTCCGGCCAGCCAATACGGTGTCCATTACCCTTTGGAAAGTTGCAGGGGCAGTGCAATGTCCAAATGGCATGACTTTAAACTGGTATAGTCCATCTGGTGTAATAAACGCCATCTTTTCGCGATCCCTTTCGTCAAGTTCCACCTGCCAGTAGCCAGTTCTTAGATTCATAGATGAAAAGTATCTGGCATTGCAGAGACTATCGAGGGCGTCATCAATTCGAGGGAGCGGATAAACGTCCTTTCTCATTACCTTATTGAGTCGGCGATAGTCGACGCAGAATCTTGGAGTGCCGTCCCGTTTTTTCACGATCACTACAGGGGAAGCCCATGGGCTTTGGGAAGGCTCAATTATGTTGTCATGAAGCATTTCTTGTACCTGTTTCCGGATTGCCTCGCGCTCTTTCATGGACACATGGTACGGCGATTGGTGACTTGGTTGCACATTTTCATCAGTTATGATGCGATGTTTCACAAGCGTTGGCTGGCGGATCTTGGGTGACGTGGCGAAACAATCCTGGTAGCTATAGAGCAGTTTCCGCAGCCTTTCGTGTCTTTCCAGGGGCAACGCCGGATTCACGTTAAAGAACACGTCATGTGTACGAGGATGGAGTGCGTCGTCGATCGTGAGTACATCGCTTATGACCGGGATGGTCTCGATTAGTGCCACAGTGGTGCCCTTTGCAAGGTGACGATATTCCGAGCAGAAAATAGTGATTAGTATACTGACGGTTCCTTCAACGATGTGAATGATTCCTCTGGCGATAGCCAAACCTTTTTCAAAGAGCAAACTCTGGTTGACCTGGAACAAACCTTCCGCGCAGATGCAGCTGTCAGCGCCCACGGGGATGACAGCACTCGAGCGTGGTGGCATCTGACGTGTTCGTCGAGAATCATTAGCGCCGCTGATAATGCAGGACTTGGATTTCGCGTGACGCCCGTATCTGGTGAAAGGGTGATTGTTTGCGCTCGAAGATCTATGATTGCTTTGTTTGCCGATAGGAAGTCCGCACCGACAATGACGTTCCGAGAGCACTGGTCCAGGAAGACGAAAACAGTAGGGTACGTATGCCCTTCCACATCCACACGAGCTGTGCATCTTCCTTTTGGTGTTATGACGTGACCACCTGCTGTTCGTACCTGCGGGCCTTCCCACGAAGTCAGCACCTTCTTCAACTGATCGGCGAACACCGCACTCATGACGGAGAAGTCAGCACCGGTATCAACCAACGCAATTACGTCCCGGTTGTCGATTTTCACTGCCAGATCAGTCGATTTTACCTCGGCGTTGCAGGTCTGTCGTGGTGTACTGTTGCGGCTTGGACGGAACTTGGTGCTGATATGTCGCTCGTGTCTCTCACACGCTGCAGGTAGTGTTGCTTCACTGGGACATTCGGGCGGGGGAGACTCTTCAGGGGTGCGCCGCGCAGCAACCACACCTCCATTGGTTGCCGTCTTTAGTTTCCCACATGAGGGCTAGGGGACCTTCCCCGTGATGCTCCTGTGTTGGCAGGGCGTGGCAATGGGTAACGGTGAGACGAAGGCGATGGTGACCTGCAGCAGCCCGCTGGCAAACTTTGTCGCTGCAAATAGTCTTCAATCTCAGCTGGTCCTTTGACCAGGTTGCGGACGTGAAGCGCCGACGTGAAATCCACGTATTCCGAGGTTTCTATAGAAACAGTTACGGTACAAGTGGCCAGGTTCACTGCAGTGTAAACACAGCGGGCGATGGTCGTCAGTCCTCCACACGTCGGACTTTCTAGGGACGGCTCTTTCGGCAGGAGGTCGGTAGACATTTGGTTGTGGGCGTGGCGGTGGAGAGTACGTCGGTTGGGCGGGGCGCACCGGGTTGCGCCCGGCCGCGGCGTACGACATGATTTGCGGTCCTCGTGGAGCCCACTCAGGCTCCTGGCTTGGTGGAACTAATGGTCCAGTCCCCAGCGCCTGCTGAACTTCTTGTCTGACGACATCGCTCAACGTCGCGACTTGAAGACAAGAACTCGGGAACATCTTCCGTAGTTCCTCTTGCACAACAGCCTTTATGGTGTCCCGAAGGTTGCTGATTGTTACAGCATCAAGCTCGGCCGGCGACGTACCGCCTACCAGAGCAGGGCGTTCATACTGTCTCCGCCGCACATAGAGAATCTTTTCCATGGCGGCTGCTTCCGTAACAAATTGGGAGACAGTTTGCGGTGGATTGCGCATTAATCCAGCGAAAAATTCTTCCTTCACTGCTCTGATAAGGAATCCGAGTTTTTTTTTTCCTCTGGCATTTTCGGATCTGCTCGACCAAATAGATGCTTCATTTCTTCGACGAAGACAGCGACGCTCTCGTTAGGGAGCTGGAAGCGTGAATGCAGCTGCCTCTCCGCCCGTTCCTTGCGAGCGACGCTTTAAAACGTCCGAAGAAGGCTTCCTTTGAAATCCTCCCACGTCCTAAGCATGGATTCGTGGTTGATAAACCAGGTACGCGCAGACTCTTCCAGTGTAACGTAGACCCACTGCAACTTCGCTTCGTCATTCCACTTGTTGACGGCCGCCACGCGGTCGAACTGTTCCAGCCAGTCTTCGGGGTCGTCGCACGGCGTTCCGCGGAATTTAGGGGGTTCACGGGGTTGCTGCAATACGACGGCTGTTGGCAACTGGGCTTCACTCATCTTGACAGGCCTGGCTTCTTTCGTAGCGGGTGGTTTTTCTGGAAGGAGGCTGTGCTCCGGGGGAAGTCCTAGCTGTCGGCGGCTTCTTCTCTGGTCGTCTTCCTTTGCTTGGTGAGGACTGGCGTCACGGCTGCACGAGGGGTTACTGAACATACCCAGTACCTCCACCAGATGTCACGTGCGTCGCCGTCACTGGAATCCACAGAAGACGAGGGTGCAGCAGACAAGGTTTATTAGTAAGGAGGCATACTTGTGCCTCTCGCTTAGGACACAAAAGGAACACTAACAGGGTCGGAGCGGCGTGCCCATGCACAGCTGCCGTTCCACCAAAGAACAACCCACAGCTTACGCGCTGCCAGTTATTTAAGCGCTGAGTAGACAACACAGAACATGCGCACACCTATCATCAGATACTGCACTGTCTGATACGATAAGCCCATCGGAAGTTAATCGCAGTCCGCTCTAGCCTATCTAAATGACGCGACGGCTGTCGCTCCATAGTGGCAGCTGCGCAGAACGGCATGGCACGTGGCATTATCATGATGCACAACACCACAAACATCGTCGTTAGTGCCTCCCTAATCTTTTTTTAAAAATTATACTCCTACTCAACACAACAAAATATAAGAAAAACTACACAGACGTTTTGCCACCCGCATATGTGGCGAAACGTCTGTGTAGTTTTTCTTATATTTTGTTGTGTTGAGTCAGAGTATAAGTTTTGTTCATGAACTCACCCGGATTCGGGAACATTTTTCAACCCATAATACTGTGTCACCCTAAAGTTAATATCACTTCAACACTTGCGTGACCATAAGCCTGCGCAGCGTTACTCACTAGGCGACAGAACAGAGGCTTCTCAGTGAAATCTAAAATGAAAATAAAACACTGACATGCTTCTCACAGCGGCCTGCCTTTCGTCCCAGGATTTCCGGTGGTAAAAATAGGAACAGCCCTTTGGATGCAAATTCAGGTGCCTGCGGCGGTCATTATTGTTAAAAACCGGCATGGTCATAGCCTTGCCTTTACAACATTGACAGAACAAGTGCGATTGAGGAACCTTATTGAGGATTGGGGAGGCGGCGTACTCTCCCCTCTTCCCTCCTCACACGCCTTCCTATTACGCGTAACCCTTATCGTTTGTCCATTCCACAGTTGTGCGCTTACTTACCGTTATCCGAGTAGGCCTTGATGTGGCAGTTCTCGATGTTCTTGAAGTGGGGCAGCACCTCGTCGTAGCTCCAGCCCTTGGCGCCGTAGTCGTTCGCCCAGTTGTCGTAGTCGCGCCGGTTGCCCCGCACGTACAGCATGAAGTTGATGACGCTCGAGCCTCCCAGAGCCTTGCCACGGGGCCATGGGCTGCGCTACATTACCGCGCGCAATGAAAACTCACCAAAAATTCGGGACAGCCCCAAGCACGTCCGGCTAGGTGCAACTAGGCTTCGAAGTTGCAGTGAATTTTATGCGTAGTGAACGCCATGCAAATGGCCAGTGTGTAAGTGAAGTTTCTTGTAGTGAGTGAGCCCTTGTCAGTCAGAAGTGGCGTAGTCGTGGAACTGGTTTAGGAGATTCAACATCCGCCCGCCCTTTCCCAGAATGTTTGAATTTTGTGAGCACACGTACGCGCTCACACCAATATATTTGAATGGGGCTCAACACCACCGAGAAACGCACTTGTGACATTTTTTTTAAATTCTGTTTTGACATTTGCGCAGGATAAAACAAGGGCTATAGTCATGAACGGCACGAGCTGATTTTAACTGGTGAGTATAAAGTTTTAAACGTAATGAAGTGGCACGTGCCACTGAACTTTTCCCATAATTACCTGCTTCAAAAGTCGGAAAGCTACAAAGGCCCGAAAGAACGGAGGTTAGGCAGATGCATGTAATGTATTACCCATCGTTCCTGATCTCCATGGCTAAAGCGTCATACATTGTAACTCCCATATATACCATACTCAGATTCCTCTGTTTTGCATATTTATAAAACTAAAAATGGGTGACTAGAACTGTTGAGGTATGCGATACGCCAAGTATACGCCACAACAAGGGTACCTGGAAGGTTTCTGTCTGTCTGTCTGTCTGTCTGTCTGTCTGTCTGTCTGTCTGTCGGTCTGTCTGTCTGTCTGTCTGTATGTCTGTCTGTCTGTCTGTCTGTCCGTCTGTTTGTCTGTGTGTGTGTGTGTGTGTGTGTGTGTGTGTGTGTGTGTGTGTGTGTGTGTGTGTGTGTGTGTGTGTGTGTGTGTGTGTGTGTGTGTGTGTGTGTGTGTGTGTGTGTGAGAGAGAGAGAAGTCCCTTGTGTGCGGGCTAACCGGCTACTGGAACAGCATGCTCGAGCGTACGTGTTCTTTGAGAGACAGACAAGAGTGCTCCTGCGGCTCGGTGACGTAGTTCCAGTCGTACGGCCCGTGGTAGTGGAGGAGCGCATACAGCGGTACGTCCGTCGTGGCGTCTTCCGGTCCGCCGGCCTCGATCAGGAGGACGCTGACGGACGGATTGGCAGACAGTCGGTTAGCCAGCACGCATCCCGCCGAACCACCGCCAACTGCAGAGGGTGCGCGGCAACATTGTACGCTGTGTAGTTCTACCATTTATATTCTCGCACATGTGAATGTGTGTATACGCAGTACAAAAGAATGCCAAATCAAACACCACAAAATTTACATCTCATGCTCTTATTTGTTCGAAAAAGCAGAAATATGAAAAAAGTAAAAATAACAGGCGAAAGCATAGCCACAGATGAGGGAAGAGTGCACCTTCGTATGACTTTATTTAACCTCTCTGCCATTTCTTGGTTATTTAGTTACCTTAATAACCAAGAAAGTTTCTCACTGATGCTTTCCTTGTCTACCATTGTCTGTCGGCTTCATGATTTTTTTATTTATTTATTTATACTGTCAACCCTCTACTTGAGGGTCATTACAGGGAGGGAAGCATAGGATATGGAAAGTAAATACAGACATTGATATTTTCAGCACTTTGAACAATAACACAATAGCATATTCATTGCTCGGCAAAGTAAACATCAAGAGCACATTAAAATTTTTTAACGTCAGAATTTTCAACAATATGTCGCGGCAATTTATTCCACGCTTCTATAACATCAGGGAAAAAAAGATTTTCGAAAGACGTCCGTCCGAGCACCGAAGGGGCGAACTGCCGCGTCATGATTGATCCGGCTGCTGAGCTTATGCGGGGGGTGTACGTAAATTGTTCTATCTATTTTTATTTGACCATGCAATATCTGAAAAAATACTTTTAGGCGCTGCTTTTGTCGTCTAATTTCTAGAGATTCCAAACCACTTAGTTTTAGCATCTCGGTAACCGAATCAGTCCTTTTATACTTAGAACATATAAATCGCGCGGAAACTCTCTGAATTCGTTCCAGTTTATCTATTAAATCCTTTTGGTGGGGGCTCCAGGCAGCACAAGCATATTCTAAAACAGGGCGCACAAATGTTTTATATGCAAGCAGCTTGACGTCTTTCGTAGCATTCGGTAATTTAGCACGCAAGAAACGCAGTTTTCTGTAAGAGGCACAGCATACATTCTCGACATGTGCACGCCATTTCAAATCATTCGTAATATGCACTCCCAAATATTTAAATGCACACACCTGCGGTAAATAATTAGGTCCAATGCTGTACGTAAATGGTAAAACGTGTTTCTCGGTAGTTATATGCGTATATGTTGTCTCAGAATAATTTATTTTGATCTCCCATTTATCGCACCATGTTTGAAAATCATCAAGACAATCAATAATTACAATTTGGTCATTCGCACACGTCACTGGGGCATAGATTAAACAATCATCAGCAAACAATTTAATTTTTACAGGAGGGTTAACAATGTCAATGATGAATGTGAGCAGCTGAATTCCACTTTCTAGGGAGGTGTTTGTGTTCTGTTGTATTATCTTGTACATCTGGGTCTTCCCGCAAACCTCCTGCATCATGAATTCATAGCCATCTTTGAGTCACCCGTCCAACAGACTCAATTTGCGAACCCGCCTTCTTCTAGGCGTCCACGAAATTACACAAATAGATTATGCTAAAATGTCACGGATAATTGCGGAATTATAAAGTACACATGTCTGGCCACCAGGGACGCAACATCCAGCCTGCTTGCTCCGCGCAAGCCAATCAAGATACAGATAATGAGGGGCGTCACTGCCTGACCGATGACGTAGTCGTACTCCTCGTGCAGCTTCTCGGTGTGGTAGTAGTTGATGTCGGGTGGCTGGCTCATCTGCAACAGCGATAGCATCTGCGCCAGCAGGAAGGCGGCCCACTTGGGAATCACGAACGGGATCGTCCCAGAGCTGATCATGGCGGCGTTACACCGCTGGCGAAGTCAGCTCCTACGTGCAGGGTGTCGGAAGGACATGTTTTACGATTCGGTTTTGTTTTGTTCTACCGCCAAAAGTTCTCTTTCTGTTCCAGAACAAAACGCAATATGTTCTGTAATGGTTCATAATGGTTTTCATGTCCATGCAAAAATTTGATGTTAAGGTAACGATAAAAATAGGACTTCTGACATAGATACTTGCGCGCCTCTTTAAGGGGATGCATGCAAAAGTTTTTCAAGTAGCCTCACTAAAACAGTCTATTGTCGCAGGAATTCACTGCCACAAAAATACTTGGAATTCATCCAGCACGAGCGGAGTTAAAAAGATCTGTCTCACGCTGCTATTGCATTTTATCTTCCCTCGTGCCGACGAAAGCGCTGAAAGATAAGCAGGGCGGCATGGCGCGGGAGAAGAAAATACGTCACGCGACACATGGGACCTTGATAACTTTTTCTGTAGCTTTATTCTTCAAATGCGCGACTTTCAGTGCGATTGCACGCGTACGCGGGGGCAAGTCGCAGCCTCCCACAGCCGCCCTATATATCTATAGTAACGACCAAGCGTACCATGCTCAAATGAGCCAATGACTGATACTTGGCCGGTGACGCAGTCAATTATGAGCCGGTAGCGTCAGTTGTTAAGAGAAGAGAAAGCACTCTATAGCTCACTTTGCGAATTTGTTGGTAATTCCAGGCCGCATGATGCGCTGTAACAATTGGCTCGCGTGTTCTCTTGAGCCTTGATTACCGATCGACAGCGTTTTATAACCACGCCGAAGAAGTGTTGCATGGCCCCTTTAAGAAAGTGGGACAGAAGTAAAACACGTTTTTCGCGTGCAACTGTATCATGAATACCTACCAACGAGAACCTACCAGTGCCCTTCTCATTTATAGTGTTTATTTTCTCAAATGTTAATTACGAACTGTCTGAGAGGGTTCAATGTTTTGTGCCAGGGGAGTGAGCGTGATCTCAGAAGCAGCATCAAGTGTGCCTCTGATATGCGAGATCGCTCTTCTAATGAAACAATGCCCTCTCTTCGCAGGTCTGTGAGGCGCATGACAGTTCAGGTGCTCTAACATAAACATTTCTGGATGGCCCTCTTTACTCGCGAAGTTTCAACTCATCTTTAATATGTAATTTCTGTCTGAAATACGCGCTGCCCCATCATTTATGCATTATTACTCACAGTGCATCACTTCGGTTGTTCCAGATTGTCATACTCTCCCATGAAGCGAAAAAAAAACGAGAAAAATGTATGTTGCACTGAATGAAACAATAGATAACGTTTCGGTTACGCTTCCGTTCCGGTCAAAATTATCGTTTTTCTAGTTTTTCTTTCCGTTCCAACAGTGCCTGCCAATACGGACAGCGAGTCAAACGCTAGTTCTTAAGATAGTGTTTTAATCCGCGCCATAGCCTATGGCTTCCTCGGAGCAACAGACGGATCTCAAGGGTAGTGTTTTCTCTTTGGGCTGCACACTCGGGAAGTCAGCGCGGAGCTGGAAGCACATCTTCCGCCATGTTTCTCGCATCACCCACAAACCAGCGTGTTGACACCGAATGCATATGTACACTGTTCTTGTTTATGAAAGGGAACATGCGAGCGCATGGCCTACGCCATGCCGCGGCTGCCTATACGGCACCATCTACTGACATATAAAGAAGGTGTGCTCGCTTTTGGCGTCATGTATTACCAAATGAAATAACGAGTCATGGCCGTTGGAGAAGCACTGCGAGATTGCGCTCCCGCATTGGTCTCGCAACGGAGGACGCTGCCAAAAGTGAACGCGCTTCCTTTATCTTTCCGTTGATGTTGCTGCAGGCAGCCGTGGTAGAGTTCAGGCTACGCGCTCGTGTGTTCCCTTTCATAAAAAGAACACTGCACAGCCGCTCATTTTCTTTGAACCTGAACGAGCGAGCCTTGACTAACGAGAGTAAAAGTTCCTGTTTCGGGATTAATGGCGCACAGTTGCCGAAACAGCCTAGCGGAAGACATCTGCACAGGACTGTTGATAGCACGCGTGCATGCTTCATTGTTCATTTTCCCGCTGCACTCCGTTAATTAGGCACCGCTTATTGATTGGGTGGCCGACACTCGCGCGTCCAGGTTTAACAGATGAACGGCTGTACTGCAGGACCTTCTACAAGGGCAATGATGATATATAGTGTCTCACGAGTCAGAACCATGACGTAACTTTGAGGCACGTCATAGTATTGGGCCCCGAAAATTTAGACGACCTGGTGTTCTTTAACGTGCGCTGACATCGCAGCATGCACGCGACTTCAGTGCTTTGCCTTTTGAAATACCACCTTTCGATATGTAATCGAAACGGCGACTTTGGGGGGGGGGGGGGGGGTCAACAGCTTTTGAAACACCTGCCGCTCAAGTATTACATCATATGGCTTTAACGACCAGCCGTGCCTGAGACTCCACAATTTTTTCAGCACATATTTCGAACAACTCTTCGCTTGTGTGACAATGTCTATCCACACGACTGTTTCCAATTGCCTCGAACATGAATAATCAAGCTTAATTTACCTGCCGCAACGTCTCTTCAGCCACGATTTTTCGAACATTTCAGTAAGCTCCGTGGCATAAGACGTTTCCAAAATTGTGGAGTGTTAATGCTGTTCATGTGCAGAGTGTTGCCACTGCTGGTTATGGGGCCAGTCTTTTTATATAACACATATATAAATGGTTTTGAACTTCTGAAACCTACTCGGTTCTTGGCCAATCCTCCAGAGTGTATGTGTGCCACTGTCTAAAGTTCCACTCTTCTCTATTCTCTAAAGTTAGCCATGGTACTGTTACGTGGGGAGCGATTTTCTTCCAAGGTGCCGTAATGGAGGTGAAATTTATTCACTGTTCTAGGTCGATTTCTTCCTGCTCTTGGTAAAATTTGCACGGATTCTCGATGACCGTTGCAACGGCAACGATAGAGACACTGCGGTTTCGCTGTGACTAAGTGCAATCCCCGCTTGCCCAACACACTTACCGCGTCGAAGGTCCAGTCGACTCACCTACGTAATCCCGACTCTGCACGGAACCACGGGCCCGCGGTCTCGGTGCGTAGACGAGACGTGGCCGGCGAATGCATTGTTGTCTCCACGTCGGCGCTGTCCCGTAGCTCCTGCACGAGTCTCGCTCGCCACGGCGTCCATCTTTGTGGCGGGACCAATAACTCGCTTTGTGCAGAGCACAATGGCCGCCTCGCACTGTCCAGGGCTGGAAGGGCATTGTTTTTGACGGTGAGGCCGCAAAAACAGATTCGCGGATTTTACACGTGTCGCAAAAGGCAGTGCTCACCGCTGAATTTCTACCCGGTGATAATTCGGAAAGTCTTGTTCAAGAATTCAGAAAAAAGGCACCGCATCGTCTAATCTGCGTTAGATATATAATAATAATAATAATAATAATAATAATAATAATAATAATAATAATAATAATAATAATAATAATAATAATAATAAATAACGGTTTACACACCATTCTAATCTAACCTTGAGGAAGACAAGGTTATACCACGCCTATAAAGTCAAACACTTTTTTCTCACCTTGAAAAACACCGCGATTGACCTCTTGCGCTAGCAATAGATCAATAGAATTCACTGCCATCTAATATTTCCGCTGTAAACTATCATCAGTCTTTTCAGTCTGCTATCCGCTCGTTTCTCGAGCGTAATAAAACTTTCAAATAAATCACTTGATTGCATTTTTAATGCACATGTCATCTTGGATTATGTTCATTTCAGAAACTGAACAAACCTATAAAAATATCTTGATACTATTGATATTATGAATTGTTGTTATTGCATTGTATAGTAGTTTTCTTTTCAGTTGCTGTGTGCCTGAAGTGATTGATTGATTTGATTGATTTGTGGGGTGAGAGACGCATTGATTATGAGAGACGCCGTAGTGGAGGGCTCCGGAAATTTCGACCACCTGGGGTTCTTTAACGTGCGCCCAAATATGAGCACACAGGCCCACAACATTTCCGCCTCCATCGGAAATGCAGCCGCCACAGCCGGGATTCGATCCCACAACCTGCGGGTCAGCAGCCGAGTACCTTAGCCACCCGACCACCGTGGCGGGTCATGTGCCTGAAGTGTGACTGTATATATCTCCTTAGTAATTCCCCCTCTGTAATATTCCCTCCGGGCACCGTAGGGTATCTATATGAATAAAAAAGTAAATGACAAAATGGATACGATTACTATGAGACATGGCATAATAGATGAAAAAAAATCCACAAATGGGGGTTCTGTGCTCAAGCCGACAATTTCACAAGCGGACTTGCCGTTCTATTATAATCTTCAGGAAGACACGTATAGGCTTGTTGAAATGTCTTTACAAGCACACCACACCTTTTTTTACAAATTTCCTCACCGCAAGCTTGCATCTTTCCTTTCTTGCCGTGTTTACAGCGTGGTGGAGAGAGAGAGAGAACACAAGGAGAAAGGCAGGGAGGTAAACCAGCGCTGAGCCCCGGTAGACTACCCTGGACTAGAGAAAGGGAGAGGGGAACGAAAGTTATAGAGGGGGAGAAAAACGACCACTGATTGGGCCGACGCGTAACAGTTTCACCATCACAAACGGTGAAACAGACCGTTGTCTTTGAGAAAATGCAACTGTGCTTTCGTTGCGTGGTGGAGAATTTCCGAAAATGTTTGCCATCTGATGTTCTTACACGCGCAGCCGACATTGGATAGCAAATACTAATAATATCTCGGGTTTCACGTTCCAAAACCACAATATGATTAAAAGAGATAACGTGTTGCAGGGCTCCGGACGTTTCGACCACGTGGGGTTCTTTGGAGTGGAACTAGATCTATGCACACGTGGCCTCAAACGTTTTCCTCTGCATCGAAAATACAGCCGCCGCGGCCGGGACTCGATCCCGTGACCTACTCGCCCGCAATCGAGCACTTTAACCACGAGACCACCGGGGCGTGTTGCGCGCAGCACACGAGAGTCTAGCGTTTCGTCCCCATCGAAACGCCACCGCCGTGACTGGGATCGAAGTTGCACCCTTCGGGGGATAGCATTACGACCACCGCTGCAACGGTCCTGCGTTACAGGCGATGCAATTTTAGTTGTGATGACCTCTGTTTGCTACAGCAACTGAATGACACTCTGAGCAAGCCGGTACATTTTTCAATTGAATTGAATTGAAAGTTTACTTGCCCTGAAAAGAACTTACAGGAGCAGGAACAGAGACTAAAGGCTATACAGTCTGACAAAGGGCCTCTGCTCCTAAATACAGTTCGGCACGCAGGCCACAGAGCACCTGCATATCGAACAAACATTTCGAATATATTATTGCACAAAAACACAAGAAACATTAGCATAGTCTTACTACGCAGTGTGAAATAAACACAAAGGAAATTAATCACGAAGCAACATTTCAGCAGACCTGAAAATACAACAGCACAACATGAAACAACAGCATAGCATCGAAATACAAAGAGAGATCCTCGTGGCATACTCCAAAATATTATAAATCAAAGATAAAGAAATACATGATATTAAAAATCAAACCAATTTTAAATACCGTACTCAATACCATGACGCATCAGTATGGTTTTGATAATGGTGTTAGAAGGACGGTTTTGTACTTCATGGCACTTTACGCATGGCGCCTCAGCAACGCCAACCACTCTAACACAAAAGCCATTTTCGAAGTATACCCTCGCTGCTGACGTTGAAGTAGAACATACTACGGTGTCGAGTATATGGGAATCAAGCTATACCAGCGTGCTAGCCGAGGGTAGAAGCAGTATCAGGCTTTAGGAACTCGCAAACAGTGTGGCAGCGGGGATATGGATTCTGCGTACGCAGTCGCAAACATGCGGCTATGCCCGGAACCGGACCACGACTGCCAAAAACTTCTAGGTCGCAAACTTTTGTGGACGTAAATTCGGCTTGCGTTGTAGCTTCTACGTGGGCCTGCAGGTGGTAATGGAAGCAAAAAGACAAAAACCGCCGAAAAAAGGATGAATACTTCAAAAGGGAACTAATTATGCACTCTGCTGAACAGTATAACATCTATAATCGAAATTCTCGTGAGGCATAATTGACAACAACGACACAAAAATTAGCAGATCCCACGTACAGTGAAAATCGATGATATGCGAAGTGCGAATGAGAAATTTTGATATGTCACTTCAAAATCAGCACAACGTTACGAGGTGGAGGCAAATTATGCCCTACATGACTTCCGTGTCATGATTATCATGTTTGGATGTGTCGTTTACCTTCGCCATTTATTCACGTCCCGTGATACCATATTTAGTATATGTGGAGCTAGCAAAACGCCCGCGAGCACGCTATGAGCGTGGTATGCAGTCATGTTCTTACATGACACGCGTGTCAGGATTATCTTGTTTGAACCAGTCACATATCTTCGTCATCCATTGACGTCACGTAATACCAAATTTGGTATATGTTGCGCTAGCAAAACGGCCGCGAGCGCATCATGAACGTGGCATGTAGTCATGTTGTTACATGACACGCATGTCATGATTTTCATGTTAGGGTCTGTAGCTTGTGTTCTCCACGCAATTATTTCATACCATACCAGTTTTGCAATATGTCATGTGAACAAAACCACCGTAAGAGCTGCAGGACCATGAAGTGTAAACCATGACATTCATGACATACATTTCATGAGTTTCATTTTATGACTAGTCGAATATGTTCCTCATACAGTCATGTGATGTCATACCAAGTTTCGTATCGATACCATTATTGAAACGGCCAGGAGAGCTAAAAGTTGTAGGCGGCTATATAGATAGATAGATAGATAGATAGATAGATAGATAGATAGATAGATAGATAGATAGATAGATAGATAGATAGATAGATAGATAGATAGATAGATAGATAGATAGATAGATAGATAGATAGATAGATAGATAGATAGATAGATAGATAGATAGATAGATAGATAGATAGATAGACAGACAGACAGACAGACAGACAGACACATAGATAGATAGATAGATAGATAGATAGATAGATAGATAGATAGATAGATAGATAGATAGATAGATAGATAGATAGATAGATAGATAGATAGATAGATAGATAGATAGATAGATAGATAGATAGATAGATAGATAGATAGATAGATAGATAGATAGATAGATAGATAGATAGATAGATAGATAGATAGATAGATAGATAGATAGATAGATAGATAGATAGATAGATAGATAGATAGATAGATAGATAGATAGATACGCTCAAAGTCACCGAAGTTCGCAAAGAAATGCTTCGCATTTAAAAGCGCGCTGCTTGCACCATTGGCGCAACGCTGGAACCTTCAGCGGTGAATGTGTTCAACGTATATCCTTCCAAGTTTTTGTGAGGAGGTGTGACCAGTGTTACAAGACCTGTGCCATACGTATAGCAATGCCAAGGTAAGAAATCCCAAGTTTTCGTTGGAGGCGAAAATGCTGTCGACCCGTGTGCTGAGATTAGGCTGCACGTTAAATAACATCAGGTGGTCGAAATTTCGGGGGCCCTCCACTATACGGCGTCTCTAATATTCATATGATGGTTTTGGGACGCTAAGCCCCACATATCATTCAGAAATCTACAATAGTACGAAGTATGGCTTGGCTTGGCTGCTCTTCTCCGGTTTTGGTCGGTTCCCTAGACAACGCGTATGTTACACCGCTTTCGCGGGAACATGTCACATCATTTGTTTTTAAAGGATTAGCTGTCTAAATGGGCTTTCCTTTATAAATTCTTTCTGTGTAATAAATGTCTACGTTGGTAGGTTAGAAGCGAGCGCTTATGTACAAAAACCAGGAATATGTAATCGTTCTGAGGTTGCTGCGCCTCTTAACAACGAGCTTCTTAACGCGCGTTCATGTAATGTGTACCTTTGAACACCGGTTCTCCAAAACGCTGTGTCAGCGTCTTTATTCCTCTGTGAGAAAAAAGTAACGCCGAAGTGAGCGCGGCAACACGGCTGATCATGCGCACGAGACCACCATGCATCGACCTCATTGGTACCTTTCATTTCCTTCATTCGGACCTGTCATGCTTTGCATTTGTTTAAGCGCTGAATAATAGCCAAGTTTGCCTTTTTTTCCCACTGAAGCCGAAGGGCT